TCGTCTGGCCAAGACGAGGACAAGATTTGGAAACAGAGCCCAGCCACAGAGTTGACAGAGTTCAGGGGCGCGGCCAAGAGAAGGGCAACAGGAGGAGCCCGGCGCGGCCAAGAGGAGGACAAGAGGAGGACAAGGCCTGGACACAGAGCCAGGCCTGGGCACAGAGCCCAGCCACAGAGTTGACAGAGTTGAGGAGAAGATGAGGACAAGAGGAGGACAAGGCCTGGACACAGAGCCCAGCCACACAGCCCAGAGCCCAGCCACAGGGCCCAACTCACAGAGTTGACAGATAGAACCCCAACAGTAAACTGTTTGGGGAACAATATGTTTGGGATTTGAGGGCGGGCCCCGACAACACAAGACTCACAAGACTCACAAGACACAAAAACTTTGGTTGGAAGGTTTCCCTTTCGCTGCAAAGGCTGCACCCGTGGTGAACAGGAGATGACATCCGCAGTTCTACAGAGACGACAGCTGTGCATTTTCAAGAACTATCCCGGCAAGAGACCCCAAACAGTGTGTGTGTGCGTGTGTGTGTGTGTGTGTGTGAGGTCTAGAGGTGTAGCTGCAGAAAGCGTAGGGATCTAGACCCTTCGGGGTCTAGAGAGGTGATGGTGAGTGTGAGTGAGGTTGAGAGTCGAGAGTGAGAGAGTGTGAGTGAGGTTGAGAGTGGGAGAGTGTGAGAGAGTGTGAGTGAGAGTGAGTGAGAGTGAGTGGGAGTGAAAGGAAGGTGTGAGCAGTGAGGGTGAGAGAGTGAAGGAGTGAGTGGGAAAGTGAGAGTGAGAGTGAAAATGAGAATGAGAGCGAGAGTGAGTGAGGGGTGGGCGAGAGAGAGTGTGTGAGAGTGAATGTGAATGAGGGTGAGTGTGGGTGAGAGTGAGAGTGAGTGAAAGCGAGTAAGAGTGAGTGAGAGTGAAAGTGAGAGTGTGAGTGTGGGTGAGAGTGAGTGAAAGTGAAGAATGAGAGTGCGTGAGAGTGAGAGTGAAAGTGAGAATGAGTGAGAGAGTGTGGGAGAGAGTGTGAGGGTGAGTAAGAGTGGCCGGAAATCTGGACTTCGAGGTTCACAAAGTGCTGTGCCTGCCACAAAATCTGCACTTCGAGGTTCACAAAGCGCTGCGCCCGAGAGTGCGAGTGAGAGTGAGCGAGAGTGAGAGTGAGGGTGAGTGCCACGAGTAGAGTGAGGGTGTGCGCGCGTGAGGGTGAACGTGTGCGAGTGTGAGTGTGAGTGAAAGCGAGAGTGACAGTGAGCATCTCAGAGCACAAAGCGCTGTGCCTGCCACAAAGTCTGCGCTTCGAGGTTCACAAAGTGCTGCGCCTGCCACAAAATCTGCACTTCGAGGTTCACAAAGTGCTGCGCCTGCCACGAAGTCTGCACTTCGAGGTTCATAAGGCGCCGTGCCTGCCACGAAGTCTGCGCTTCGAGGTTCGCAAAGCGCTGTGCCTGCCACATAAAATCTGCACTTCGAGGTTCACAAAGCGCTGCGCCTGCCACCAAAATCTGCGCTTTGTGAGGTTCGCAAAGCGCTGTGCCTGCCATGAAATCTGCGCTTCGAGGTTCACAAAGCGCAAAGCCTGCCACGAAACCTGCAAAGGAGACACATGTCCAAAGTCACGATCCACTACACCTGTCACGAAATCAGAGCGCGTCTGTCCAAAGTGCTGTGCCTGAAACGAAATCTGCATTTCGATCTAAAACTGCTCTGATCCCTTGCACCTAACGAAAACTCGACCTTGGGCCACCAAAACGCGAGGTTTCCTTTGCGCCTGCCACGGTTTGGGGAGAAAAAAACATCTATATATAAGGAAGATTCAAAAAAGATAGTGTTTTCAAGACCTTTGGTGTTTTCGTTGTTTCGCTGCGGCAGCTTTGGTTCTTTTCATGTGCGCTGCAACGAATCTAGTTTGTACTAGATATCAGTCAGTGAAGCCGTGCTTTGCTGCCGACGTCTTCGAAAAAAATGTGCCAACACCTTCTTTGTAGTAGGTGTAGTACACTGTACCTTCTGGGGCATTGCCACCCTTCTTAAAAGTTCCAATGACCCAGCCGTGGCAGTTCGTCTCCTCTGAAATGAAGTTGGCTGAATTGGATCCTGGTTTGCGGGTCTTCTTGCTTCTTTGCTTCTTGGGACTCGGGGTTTTGGCAACCTTCTTCATGGGAGTGCGGGTGGCTGGCTTCTTGAAAGTAGGGTCCACGATGGGATCACTTGTCCACGGTGTTTCCTCCTCCGCTCCCTCCATAGCTGCGCTGTGCTGATCATCACTTGCAGCAGGGGTACCCATCGTTTCTTGTGCCGCTGGTTTGGCCATGACTACTGGAACTGAAAACCCCGCATCCCTCTTGGAAGGTGAAGACCCCGAAGACTTAGTAGCTGGCCTTTTCAGGGCACGTGCCCTCTCCCTGCCGGTCTTCAACCTGTTCTCAAAAATGCGTTTCTTCTCCTCGTTGGTTAAGGGAGAAAATGGTTTCACCACCTCCTCAGCAGCTGCCGAAGGCCTCTTCATTGAAATTGGTGTTCCTGGGATTTGGATGGATGTGGGGCCCATGAATGAACTACAGTCTTGAAAGGAAACATGTTGGAAAGGAATGATATTGCTTTCAGTTGCTGCATGCTACTTGCTGTCTAGGTACCCTTTGCTTTTCGTGCTTTTGTTTCTCCTTCACCACCATTCTTGTTCGTAGATCTCCCCCGACCTCGACCCCGACCTCTGCCACGGCTTTTTGCAGCGGTACCTGCACTGCTGTGTTCCTGTGCAAGCGGTGATTGCTCAAGAGCGGAGTGTTGGCTATCATCTTGACCGGGATGTTTTCGGGCTTGAACAGAAGGCGGTTGCGCCCCAGACCCGATTTGCAACTGCTGGCTCCTCAAAATGTGCCCCTGGATATCGAAGTTTAACTCCATTGCATATGACACAGGTAGGGATACAAGCTCGAACCAAGCAGCTAGTAAGTAGAACTGACTATGACATACCAAAGTTTGATACTTCAGATTGTTTGCAAGCTTCGTAACAGTTCAACCAAATCATGGTTCATGGGTGTGAATCCTTGAACTGACTTACAAATCCTTGAGAAACACGTCGTACGCTTAAGTTTTCCATCCGCAGCTACAGTCAGCTAGTTGTTCAATACAGAAT